TGTTGTGAGAAGCCAAATCTAGTTTTAGAGCAGGGTATTACCGAATAAAAGAATACTGCTTCAAACAATAGTCACGGTCAAAGAACAGTCATGCTAATTGAATTACAGAAATATGGACCAGTGTTCACTATATGGTTTGGTACGATGCCAACGGTACATATCACAAACTGGGAAATCGCACAGGATGCTATGATCAAGCATGGAGCAGAGACAGATGGGTTCCTATGCTTTTGGATTATCTGAGAAGTTAGTTTCTCCATGGGGTAATGGTGTCCTGCGTTGATCCCCTAATTATCAGATGGCATGGGAGTTATTATGTCTAACGGCAAAGTTTGGATGGACCACAGACGCTTCACCTTGCAAACACTACGAGATTTTGGTTTCGGGAAAAATATTATGGAAGAGAAGATAATGGAAGAGTTCAACCTCAAGTCGGTTTGATTTTGTTGAAATGATCGTGATAAAAAATCTAAAAAAGGCGATTAGGTTTGAGGAAGTGGATGCCGAAATTCAGCGAAGCGGAAGCAGTATTGTTGATCCATTCCAGGTTATAGATGTTCTCATCGGCAGCATTATCAGCAGGATTTTGTATTCAGAACGTCTCGACAGTGTAAGTGATTTTAGCTCACTCCCTAGCTCTAATCGTAATTTTCTAGTCTAATTAAGAAGTGCAATAGATTTTTCAATGCTTGAACCATACCATTCTTCTTCCCAAACAAGTGACATTTTGATTAACGCATCAAAGATCTGTGAAAGGCTCGAGTTCCATTCCAAGGAAAAAAAACTAAGCTCAGCTTTCGAAAGCTCTGTAAAGCCTTGTCTCTTTCAACATCTTTTTTTTCCACTGAAACGGTTTTAATCCGCTCCTCTCTCTTCAACCCCTCTTTCACCTCCTCAGCTGCTCATTTTACTAGATGGGATTGTCTCTAAAAGTTCATTCAAAAGTTTTTTTAGGTTTACCTCACCGATTACTCTAGACCCATGGGTGTTTCATAATCGCAGGTCGTATCTCTGAAACAGCGTTTCCCAAACAATTCTACTGCTATTTCAAAAGTTTTCTTGCTCAGATCTCAGACATCCACTTCGAAACAAACTCTTTACTTGTTGCTTTACGTGAGGGTTACGGAGAGAGACCTATAGGTAGCTTTAGCACAAGCGTGACATAATTATCATTGGGCAAACGAAAGTTCTACCAACGCTGAAAGCATATTTAGGTGGCTGTTCAGTGCATGAAGCCCCACAATAATCATATACCGCAGAAATAGCTGGCTTTGCCAGGGTTCGTGTATAAAGCAAAGAAATAAAGTTCAATAAAAGAGAAGTAGAACATGTGATGTAGGTAACACGCTGTTAAGTAGGATGAAAGCTAAAGTAATGCTGTACGTTGAAGTGAGGATGAATTTTCACACATCTGGTTTCGGGGCTAAACTAGACCGCTAGTGCGACTTCATTGGTGCCCCCTTATGCACCCTTTCATCAGTAGTTCCCAAGGAAGTTTGCAAAAGATAATCTATTACATAATGAGTAGACTATGGGATTTTATCGTAAGCTATGAAAATATAGCTGTGAACAAGAGACGGAGATGTACTAATGTGAATTTTGTAAAACAGGACAAGATAAACCAGCACAACTGTAAGTAGTTGAAATATCCCGCCTATTCCTGTCATATGTTGTCATCTGCCCATGTATTCTGCATCTCATGCATAAGAGGGAGGTGGATCTTTGTAGGGAATCCATATTTACGCAAATTAAAAGGTCTATTATAGAATGTAAGATATAACACTGATAAAAGAGCTACGTCCTCATCAATTGTTCTTGGAAGAACGACTTAGCTCTATTATCCTCTCTTTAAATCTATATAACAAGAACAATTTCTATATGTTCTAAGTACTTCTGAAGTCACAGTATTGAATAAAATATGCTCAAGTATATTAGATATCCAATTAGGGTACTTAATGACCTTGAAATCATAACTATTGTCTTATTATACAAGCTAAACTTAACACCTCTATCCTCTAACTAAGTTTAAAAAGGCAGTTTCTAACTCGCTGTCGTTTGCCTTTTCTATCTCCAAAGATGTAGGATATATGTTTGGTAAGCTCGTAAATTTTGATGCATTTGATGATGCATGTAGGATGCCATCTATATATCGCAATGTACAATTGAACTTTATTAACTTTTGCCTATTTGATGATTTCAACTGTCTTGTGATGTAATCATAATCCATGTATGCTCAGGTCAATTTAGCTATTTGCGCACTACATGAAGCTCCCTGACGCATACGCTTTGCTTGTCTATAGATATTACCCTCGAAATACAGATAACTAGATTCCATTACTGCATCTAACATTTATAACACATCTTCTAGTTGAAAATATTTTCCTCGTAGTGCGTTACAGTTTGTGTAGTACACCTTATTACTATGAACTCTTATTTACTTATATCCTTTCATACAAATGTACAAAAGTTTTTTAGATTACTCCTGACTACCTCGTGTGGTAAATTAGTAAATAGACTTGAGAACTTTGCTGAAAATTATTCTAATCTATTATTATTATCTAACTCCCTAATTACTTGATAGCTGTTATAGCCTTTTGATCTTCTTTTCTTGCTCCTGAACCTTCTATTTTTAGCAGGGCAACTGAAATAAAGGATTCTTTCTTTTCCAGTGGACTAACGTCTGATGAATTACCAAACCTTCTAATTTGATCATTAAATCCAAAAGGATATGCAATAATCAAGTACTGTATCCGCTGTAATTCTTTATCTCCTAACTGTTGCTTGAGGAAGGCAATGTTCTAATATTTTTGTAGTAACGTCTTCTGGGTTATGTTTGGTGTTTTCAAAGTGGTTAACCATGAATGCATTGATGTTCAACTTATGAAAACTTCTCTTATGGTGTCTTAACCTAGCTCTCAAGTTTTAAGTTGTTTCTCCCACATATATGAAAATGTTACAATTAATTAAATATACTACGTTATTAGAATCACAGTTAGCATTAAGTGGCTTATTAGTTTAAAATAGTAATTTGTTGTTTTACTAGTCACAAACTAGTTAAATCTCATTCACATATCAAACACCTATTAGATCATGTTTCCTTTAACAGTTAATGTTAAAGGGATGGGCCGCATAATTAAGTCGGTGCAAACTGGTTATCTTTTTTATTATTTTATACTTTCTCAGTACATAAGCAAATACTCATAATTTAGATTATGTAGAAGTTATGTGCCACTTGTGAGATCTTATTATGTCTCTTCTGCCTCCTAAAGTCAAAGGGGTGGATACATAATTGAATTAATACAAGCTAGTTAGTGTTTGCTTTGTATCAGAATTATTAAATTTTAAATTCTAATCAATTTCTAAATCTAATCCTACTTCTAAATTTTGGCCGATCTCTAAAAACTACCTTGAAGATTGCTTCCTATTTGTATTGTTAATTACTGTATTGGAACGCGGACTACTCAATCAATAGTGTGTTTAACAATGAACATTGTGAATAAGCTATTTGGCCCTATACGTTGAAAAATTAATTACAAATTGCAGTTGCACCATTGGACCTTATGTCTCTTCTAACTCTCAGTGTCGGAGATGCGGATAACTAAAAATAAAGTTGTTGAAATACTAGTATATTGATTCCGAAGTAGCCCTAGCGTCCATTTTCTATAATTTCCCTCTCTTATGCCTGCAGCGCAGAATCAATGAAACAGATAGAAATCTGCTTCTTTTGTTCATCATATGTATTTGCAATTTTCTGTCGATATGCTCGTGCAAATGGCCTATCTTGGCGAGAATGGGATGTAAAGATATGGTAGAGAACTAGTCATATTACGCGCTTCGACGATGCCTCCGCCCTGTCTATCAGCACTTCGCAAACACATCCGAAAGATATAGCAAGGTCCTTTTATGCTGATTGAGAAGTTCTACCTACTATTTTTTTGAACCCTCATGATTTTGCTTTGGTAGCAATAGTGCCGGTTTTGCTGTAAGCTCTTGAAGGTCGTCTTTGTTAATGCTTTCTCGCTGAAAGAAATTTAACTTTCTCTAGAGAATCGTTCAGATGTGAAAGGCATATTTGAAATCAGCGTTTTAAGCCGCATCCATTAGTATGCCACGTGTTTTGCCAAGCCATCGTTATTGACACGTAGAATACTTCTCTTATTAGTTTGTGATCCCTGTTCATAAATGCTTACCAAAATGCGGACGTTTATGGATCTATGTAAAGACAAGAATCTCTACTGCAATGACTTCATTAATATTTCCCGGCTCTTTTATTCCATCGCTTCTATGACACCGATGTGTGGACGAAATTGCGCTACCCGCGGGACTTTCCGTCATTGTTTAAGAAAAGGATGGAGTGCGACGAAAGCAGCAGGGGTGGGGG